ACCACATATGTAAGGCCAATTCTGGAATACTGCCACCTAGTATGGAATCCATACATTTCCATACACGAAGAACGCATAGAATCTGTCCAAAAACAATTCCTTTTATATGCTTTACGTAAATTGAATTGGACTGCATTTCCATTACCATCTTACGAAGCACGCTGCATGCTCATCAATATACAAACACTTAAGGAGCGCCGCCAATTTGCAATGCTTTTCTTCATCAACGACATTATTTCAATGCGCATAGATTCGGCAGAAATTCTCGCACAATTAAATTTTTACACACCTTGTCGATATCTTAGAACACGGAATTTATTTTCAGAAACATCGTACAGAACAAACTATGCAAAAAATAGCCCAATCAATCAAATGATGCGCCTATATAATTTGCATTGCGGAACTATTGACATCACTATGTCCAAGCAGCAAATACAAACTAAGCTAAAACAGAATAGAATTAATGCATAGTATGTAAGTAAACATTGTAATAATCATTGTATGTAGTCTACACTGGCTTGACGAAATGGAAATAAATGGAAATAAATGGAAATAAATGTGGGTGGCCCTTAAGACTAGTATGTCCCGAAGAAATGTGCTCAACTTTTTGGCTCAGCTCTGGTACTCTCTTCGGTCCCAAGCTAGTCGATGCACCCCTCGAAACATAGGAAAATCCACGAACCTCTCATTTTATCTGTCAAACTTTCTTAGATAATCAAAACAAGCATAGTGTAGTACTAGAATTTTAAACTAGAATGAGCTACGTTAATCAATTTGCACGGGACCAATAGGCTAGTCAAGTAGTGAGCCAATTCCAAATCGATAGTTTCGTATTGATTATTGCTTAAACTCTGTAAAACACACTTAAATCGTAGTATCCGTTTGGAGGTGGATAAACTTTTTTTTGCTTAATTTTTTCCCTGTTTTATAATTTATCACAGGAAATCTCAAGAAAAGATATAAACGCTTTCAGAGTTGGTTGGAAATGCTAACATGAAGCTTTAGTGTTATAATTTATTAGCTAGAGAATGATCTTTAGAAGAGGGTAGGTGGATAGTTCCGTTAGAGTACGGCAGTATGAAAATTGAATAGAAGTTGAAAATGAGCGAAGGGCCATTAATGCGACAGTTTTTGAAGTCAGACGCACATCTTTTGCCTAACCCGTACGATGTACGCGGAGACTTGAAGTATGTCTTCAAGTCTACAGGCAAAAGATGTGCGTCCTCCTTCTGCTCATAACTGACTGCGGCTGTGGAATAGTTCTAGCGACGTTTCATCACTACCTAAAGCCCCACGTTTGCGAGAGCATTTCCAGTCGATGGTGTGTTATAATGCAATTCTTCTTTACCCAACTATTGTGTTGCTCCTCTCGTCATGACCAACGTGGTAGCCTTAATTTCAATAACAATGTGATAAATAAACATAAATTACTGAATCATTGAGGAACACTCATAAAATGAAACTGATTTTCACCAGAAAAACAAAAAAAATGTAAATTGGTAGGGGGTGGATAAACTTTTTTTGCATACTGTAAATTGTACCCGTTCAATTTTGGCAGCAAGCCTGAAAATTTAGTGTTGCTAAAATCAAACGGTCTTATTTTGAAGTTCAATTTATGATTCTGTTGACTTCAGACCACTGCGAGGCATCGCTATGACATAGACGTTACTAATAATAAATCTTTTATTAAAAGTTGTAATCACAAGGAGAAAAAACACACTATTTTCAAATTCCGTTCAATCTTGGCTCGTTGCCAAAATTAAATCCCGTGCCAAAAGCGAACGGTTTTGTGATTTTGTTGCTAAAATCGAACCGTGCCTAAATCAAACGACTACTGTACAAATATTTAAATTAAATAAATAGTAAGCTCTCACCAGATTCTGCAGTTGTTTGTAACCATTCAACACTGTTGGCCATCATAATCACAAGTGTTAATAAGTAGGAACGAACTCACCAAATGAATCCATGAGTACCGTGGAGGCACCATATTCGAAGCGGTTCCTAAATCGACGCACTCAATAATGTTCAACTTTCTTTAAATTCCGGTTTAATTGCTTATCTTTTGGCAGATACGCGTATTTCGTCAACTACTTGCAGACTTCATCAGTGCCAAGTACTTGGCACTGATGAAGTCTGCAAGTAGTAGACGAAATACGCGTATCTGTCAAAAGATAAGCGATTATAACGGAATTTAGAGGAAATAAACCAACCCACTCAAAGCTCTTCATAAAGGGATTCCGTTAAGAGGATCGACAAATTTAAAGGAATGTTCGACTATTTTCAATCATTATTTTTGAAATGTTACTTCTGCAAATATTACTTCCTGTGCTCTAGGGATGATGGTGTAACAAAGTTTAAAAAAATATCTTGTCAAAATCGAGATGCGATGAAAATTAAACGAGTGCGTCATCATTAGGGACGCGTCAAATATGGTGCTGGCACGGTAATGTCAACAGAATGAAATTGCATGGCGCTACTGGTACTTTGATTGTCCACCTTTCTTGCTTGAATCAGGATGATATCCACCTGGTACTATTCAACATAATTAACATGTAGCCTCTCCTTGAGTACATCCCGATTCCTAGTGATTCCTTTTCTTCAGGGAGAATTTCCTGTAGTCCTGTATCTGTTATCTTTTTTTGTAATTTTCACATTTTAATCATCCAGATCAGGTTCAGCTAATATGAAATATCACTAAAAGAGTCCGCAGGATTAGCCCTTGTGGTTCGCTTCTCCGTGACGTCGTCGCAAACGAAATAACGTCGGGGTCACGGAAAGACAGCCCAAAACTTGAATAACTTTAGAAATCACTATCAGATTGGTTTCTTATACTGTTTTAAAAATATGCCGAAATCGTTTCTCCGAAAAAAAAATCACAACAAAGAAAATGCACGTCAAACTTGTTCCTGATTTTTAAAATCTGCCCAATGGTTATTAAAAATTTATAAATTTTTGAAAAAAGCAATTTTTGAAAAAAAAAACCGATTTTTTGGACCACCCTAACATGGAAATGGTCACCCTAATGATAACATAAATAAATAAGGGTCTTATATTGTGCGATAAGGAACAACACTACAAATTTTTACGAAATTCTGAGAACCACTATATCGTTTTGCTATGGAATGGCTGTATTAGAGTATTTTGAAAAAGAGCGTCTCGTGTAAAATTGACTCTATAGTGGATATGTACCATTTTGCCCCGTAACGTGGGTAGATCACCTTTTCGTGGTACGTTACGGGATTTTTTTTAAGATCTACCACCGATAGTCCTGACTACTTCAAACTAGGGGAACAATATTTTTCAGTAATCAAAGGAACACTTGTCCTTGTTACTTTTTATGCCTTGTTGATAGTGACAAGCCTCGGCTTTGACCACCGAGGACAATCTTGAAACAAGGAAAAAATGAGTTAGTTAGTCTGCATCTATGTGATTGCTAATCTTCTATTCGTTGTTCTCTAGCTTGAGGTGGTTAAGACTAGGGTTCTGATGCATGGTCATTATTGGTGTCATTGCTTAATTTTGTTGGTAAGGAATCCAATTTTGACTGACAAAAGGGCGCGCCTTTGGAAGCTGCTCTCACTCTTCGAAGGGTAAAAATAGCGGGAAGGTATGAAGGTAAGAATGTCAACTGTATCAAGACCTTACGCCTTCACCCACCACTATTTCTCGATTGTCCTTCAACCCATTGCGTTGATTTTTTGTATGTGATTAGTGTCAACCTCAAACTACCCAACCAACACACTTCCGTATCGAAAAGTTGCGGTAACTTGATTGTGACCGGAATAAGTCGCATAGGAGTTGCTACAACCGTTTTGTGACAGGCTTGTGTGCTGCTAGGGTAGTTGAAGAACAGCCGAGAAATAGCGGTGGGTGAACGGCACCGCCCACCGCATATATGAAGGGAATGCTGTAGGCCAATTCAACACTTAAATTCGCACTGTTCTACGTTTCGCTAGAAGGTGGCACGCAACTTGCAGGGCACTATCTTCAATAAATCCAGTCAGTTAATTTGCTGCGACTGACAACGTAGACATTGTCGGAAGAACGTCTGATACGGCGCCCATCCCTTCTGACTGGCAGCTCGGGCCATTCTAACTGCCCACCATCGACTGATGCGCAAATTTATAGATGAGTGTTTTTCTTCTAATCTCTAACACCGTTATTTGCCAGCAGCGAAAAAAACTGATTAGCTATGCTTCCGTTCAGCGTGTGTCCTCCTCCGTTATCATTAGCGTTCCCCGCCTTATCTGCCAGTGGCGAGTTATTTAAATCGGATCGAATATTTTGCTTGTGTACCCCACAAGCATCGCTTGAAAGACAGGACGACTCAAAAATGTGCAACGAGTTATGTCAATACGGTATTCCGTCAGATGTTGGCATGCATTTCAGAATGGTATAGGCATGAGTTATTAGACGTGCCACAGCTTAGTAATGACTCAGCGATTATTCGGCATAATTTATTCCAGAGTATATAATAAACATGATTCATAAAAGTTTATTGTTGTTTTTTCACTAAGAATAGGAACTTTTCTTTCCTAGGGAGCCAAAATTTTGGATGGCAGTTTTATGGTGGAATTTAAATTATGATTCTTATCTTTTTATGATGATAATTACAATCTGAATTTGCTTTGTGTTAAAATTTATGATTTAGGTAATTCACGATTAGCTGATCAATGTATATGATTTGTTTACTCAAATAATTAATTAGCATATTTAGCTATTTACAATCATCTCTACCATTTTACATTCCAGGTACCTGACCCTATTCTTGCGGTTGTCTATAAAAGAGTCCCGTGGACGTAATTCAATTTCCAGTAATCGCGATGCCACCCAATCAAGCGGATCGATCTTCAAATACAGAATTCATTCGTGATCGTGCTGTCAGCAATCCTTCGGATAATTTTCCATTGGAATCACAATCGTTCGATTGTACCGCCAGTTTTTGTTAACCCGCCGAACACAGGTATTTATAAACTACAATACCCCTCCTTGTAGATTTGATGTGGAACGAGGTTTTTCCTAGATAGAGCACAATTTGTTCAAACATGGCTCCGACGATGACTCAATGGTCGGTCGGCTGCAGAAGGGTTCTTTTTTTTATCTTTGTCGAAAAATGTCGCAATGATTCTCGCTCTCACACGTGAATGCGATCGCTAGTGAAACAACGAATCTTATGTTTCTTTGCATGTGTCATCGAAGGGATCGTAACGGAATATTTGTGTTCAACAGAGACAAAGACACTGATTTAAGAGTGCAGTACGCGAACCTCAAACGATTTATTGTGAAAAGTGGTTTAGGGAAAACGCTCCTATAGTTACGGTACTGGAATTTATGCTGATTTCGAATATAAATGGGGTAACATGCATTTTTGATCGATTACTCGTGTTATAACGTTAAATTAGTTACAATTGGAGAATAATTCAAATATGTCCTTTACCTTTCGTAGCCTTTGCACCTATAGTTGTGGTAGAATCGCGCCTTCGTCCAAAATCTAGAGTGCATTTGGCGCAGTTAACATTTGTGGGTACACGTTACCTATGAATGGAGGAAAATTTATCATTAAATTGATAGGTTAAACTGTAAAACGAACATTTTCTCTGCAAAATAGAGAAGAAAAGCAACAAGTTGAATTGCTAACACGATAGTAGTGGCAAAAAAGGAACTTGCATGCAATCCTGCATGTGCGACCACTTGACGACCAGCGACGAATGCTGAGCGAATATTTTTCCCGCGCGTTGTAAATGTAACCATGTGAGTATGCATTTTTATTTAATGGCGAAGCGTTTAAAATAACCGTGCCAACTTCCAACGAACACCACAAGGACTGTTTACGTTCAAAAATCCTTATCGCCAGTTCAGATCAGAAGAGCATCGCTGATACCCTCTCAATTAGATTACGTGGTACATGGGAGCAGCGTTGCCAGGTCATTTTCAGAAAAATCTGGACCAGGTAAAATATTAAATCTGGTAAAATCTGGAATGCTCCAAAAAATCCTGTTTTTAACATAATGCTATTTAAATAAAAGTGATGTGCCAATCTCCCGTAATAATAGGTCAGTATGATCACCTGGAATTTATTTAAAGTACTAGAATGGTTATAAATTACAGGTTTAAATAAATTATATGAAGCAAATAACTTGTTAGCATTGCTAAAATCATCCAAAAGTTGAAAAGTATTGACACGGTGTGCCCAAAAGGTTCAAATATCCATTACGCAGCATTTCAAAAATTGAGTTAAATGTGAGTAAAAAACAGCAGAAAATATGGTTAGAATTGTTTGATAAACTGTTACTTTTTTTAAAAAGAATGAAAAGAAAAGAATCAAGGAAATTTGATCGGATGGATTTTTTGAACTAATAGTCGATGTAGTCCTTACTATTTGTTGCAGTACCATAATTTAAAGATTTTATTAGCTCTAAATAATTCTAATATTAATCTGAGGTTGATCAGATTTACAATTTAGTTCTTGGCATCATACAACACACAACACCTAGCAGACCAGTAGGCAATTTTATTTTGAAGCAAAATTCACCGGGCTGAAGTGGTAATCAAAACCCAACATTGTGGAACTCACACACAGTTTACCTAAACTACGGGTAACTCCACTATTCGCATGACCATTACGAATAATTGTATGTCAAAGAATAATGTTATTATATTACTAAAATGAATGTCTGATAGCTTCATTTTTGAAGTCTCAGGATCTTGCAATTATTCTAAATTCCGGAATTCATATTTTTCCTGCGTCCCAGATCATGAATTTTTTTGTTAGTCTGAATTTACTTGGAACTCTTCACAGGATATTTTCGCTTTTTTTTTTAGTTCAATTCGAATCATCCTAGAATTTTTTATATTCCGCTAAAATAATCTTGAAAATATCTAAAGTTTTCCAGTAACATTCTAAGAGTTCTTAGCATTACCTCTTGTAATCTCTTATAAATCACTCTCCAATTCCACAACTCCCTCAAATTGGTAAGAATTCCCAAAAATTGGCTCAATTTTGTGCCCATTTTTCTCCATGAAATTCTTAAAATATTCTTAACAATTTCCTTGGTACATTCTTCAGAATGACCGTCACACTCTTTTCAGACTTATCCGATAATTCCCTTTAAACTGCTTTGTAGGTAAGGTCAGAATTGTTTTGAAGTCCTTTTCAGTATTACCTAACTACTCAAGTATTTTGCCAAAATGGTTTTGAAAGTCTCCCAGAAATTGCGTTTGAAATTTTATTAAAATTAATCTCCATAGAAAAACATTGGACAGAGTTCCATTGAAATTATTCTCACGATTCGTATCAGCATACTCCTTAAGTTTCATCATAAGAATTTTTTGTATTTCATTTATTGACAAAATCTCCATGCAATTGTCATCAGAGTTGACAAGACAATTGACACCGTCTTCAACCAGAGGTTGCACAGACTGAATATTTAACACACACTAATCCAGGCCTCCGTCGTTCGGTAAATTTTGAACTACAGAACTGTTCGGTAAAAGTTTAAAAATCAGTGAAAAATCCAATTATTAAAAAGTTATCCTGAACTTGTACAGAAGTTGTTCAGTTTACCCCATTTATTGATGAAAAATAAAATTTATAAATTTTCTTGATATCCCACGTGTAACGGTCATTTGAAAATTTTACCGAGTTGTTCTACTGTTCAAAAACCCGGTAAATTCCTACCGACTTCGGTGATCTGAATTAAGTGTGCACTAAACAACGGACATTACACCACACCCATTAGACCACTGACCAGTAGGGAAATTTTCAGGTTGCCAAAATTTGCACCGGCTAGAGCGGGAATCAAACCCTCACTTCGTGGCACTCACAATACCCGAAGCCCACAAAGATGGATGTAATTCTACTCAGAAGCAGCTTGAAATTTTCCTTGGATTTCACAAAGAATTCGCCTCACACTTAACTGTGAACTATTTTCAGAATTATCTTAAAATTCCAATAATGTCCAACGTTGATGGCCTTAAATAATCAAAGTAGCAAGTTTGGCTTTTTATTTTATTTTTTATTAGAGGGTAAATCAATTGCAGTGATATTTTTAAAGCAAAATATACGTGGTCTGTCTGTGTATCTGGCAAGACGACTAAAAGTCTGGAAAATTCAGATAAATCTGGAATACTGGCAACGCTGCATGGGAGGGTATTGAATTTCTACCCGAGCAAAGTATTAGATTAAATTGAAATCTAAATTTGATGATGTGATTTCGCTGATAATGATTGCTCAGATGTTTTATTTCAATTGATTTGTTTTACATTTCTCGACCAACTATTAGCTTTTGCAAACAAAACTTGTTAAGCTCTTTGGCATTACAGATTTTGTTTGGCATTTTTCAATTGTTGATAAAACATGTTCTTAGTTTTTCATAAACTTACCTTACCTTACCAATCAGGCTAAGGCCTTGATGTCCTCTACTGTCAGAAGCAGTCGTCTCCTCTCGACTCGATCCATGGCCACACGTCGCCAGTCTCTTAGTCTACGAAGGATCCGCAAGTCGCCCTCTTGGGTCGCATTCGAGAACCATTTTCACTAGTTCGTCGTCCGGCATTCTTACGACGTGTCCACCCCACCGTAGTCGCCCCATTTTTCTAGTGTGGACGATTTATGGTTCCCCCAGCAGCTGGCGCAATTCGTGGTTTATTCGCCTCCTCCACGTATCGTCATCCATCTACACTCCACCATAGAAGGTACGCAACACCTTCCGTTTGAAAACACCACGACCCAAATACACAAACTCGTCAACCACCTCGATTTCATCATCGTCAATCTGAACTCGGGTGGGAGGCTAACATTGCCTTCGCTAGAACCTCTTCCTATCATGTATTTCGTTTTCGATGCGTTGATGGCAAGTCCAATCCGCCTAGCTTTAGCCTTTAGCCTTTCCACTATCATCTCAAAGCTGGAAGCTGAAGCTCTTCTTTTATCACACCTTCTAACGCGAAGTTAAATAGCAGACACGAAAGACGCATTTCGCGCCAAATCGTATGCGGAGCTGGCAACACCCTTTCAGATTTCAATTAAATTTTCTGGATGTGTAGTTTAGTTTTTCAAAAATTTATCCTAACTTTGAGAAGAGCCAAACTGTTTTTGCTGATTTTTTTCAAAAAAATATTATGGAAAAATTACAACTCCTACAAAAATGTGTTGTATGGATGACTTTTAGGAAACTGTCCAAATTATAGCATGTATGAATATAGGTTTAAAACATTGAAAATATATAAATAGATGATATATAAACAATCCTGTCTTTTCTCTCTCTCATATTATCAGATTTTGCCTCAGTAGTAGACAACAGAATAAGGGAATGATATTTTTTTTTGACAAGGTCTGCATTTCCAGAAAGTTTTATTGAACTCTGAGAGGGTGCTGCCAATTCCGAATACGATTTGGCGAGAAATGCATCAAGAGCGCTTTTCATATGAAAATCTCGATTAATCAAAATGAACTTCCCAAATAGCATTTCTTGTTTTATTGCACTCTATTAGTGGTTTTGAGATCAATTTTATAAAACCGTCAATAAAACTAATAGCTCCAGCACAACCTTTTGATAACCGCTATAAGATCGTCGGACCAATCTTGATAAAGTTTATAAAGCATGTTTGAGAATCACAATAAAGCTGTCTTAAAACCTTTTGTAAGAAGGCCCCATACTCTACAAAAGGTTCTCATAGCCTCTCTAAGAGTAATATTGTATTCAAGCAGTTTTATTACGCTTTGGTGGAAATCAGTTATAAATCCAATTTAATTTTTATTTGTTTCAAAGCAACCACCACAAATAAGCTTGTTGTTGTTCTGTCCTGCTGATTTTTTTTCTACATGGAAATCTTTAGCGGTAAAAATAGGTTTAAGTGTTGATGTCAAGATCACCATGCAATCAATTTTGTTTCATGTCAACATTAGTGAAAATCTTAAAGAAAATATATGACTTTTTAGAAGTTCCAAAACATATGCGCTTGAAATTTTATCGTGTGTATTGGGATAATAAGAGGGTTAAATAAATGCGCCTCCAAAATAATTCAACTTAACAAAAAAGATTGTTTCAGAAATCAACTGAATTTGATGGAATCATCTTAATTTTACAGAAAATAGATCTCAATAAATAAATTCATACCAATGCACACTGGAAATCATTTCGGATCTCTAATTTAGCCATTATTGTTCATGGATTTTATTCCAAGGCTAATGGCATTTTCGTAATGACAATATGGAGACAGAGGACAGCAGTCGAGTATTAAGACAGAGACACTGAAGAAGTCTGCACATTGTAGACGAAATATGCGTATCTGTCAAGGATAAGCAAATAAGGTAGTGGAATTAAATGGAAATTACTAATCCTTCTCTCTCTCATTATAAGAAAAACCACTTTTGACAAGTTGCAACTGAATGCATTGTATATGACCGTCATAAAGCTGTAGGTAATGGTTGCAGCTGCAATAAAACCTTTACAAATTTTGAATATATAGCCAAGCAGCTCTAGATTTGTTACTTGGGTTAAGTGCTGATTAGACAAAATCCGCATTTTAATCGCAAATTGAGCTTCATTGGGTTCTGAGATGATTTTGAGCTTCACTGGATTAGTTTTGTGTGAAAATGGTACGTTAAAAAAATTATTTCAGCTCCTTAAAAGTGCCCATCTCGCGATGTATGGACGGATGGTAGTAAACATAATTACCTATCTTGAGGCAAAGTTTCATCCAAATCAAACATGGCCTTTTTTTTAATCGACTTTAAATTTTTAAAATCGATTTTTTTCAATAAAGGGGTCAGATGGAATTTTTTCCAGTATTTTTTTTTCGAAAACTTAAACAATTTCCTTAAAGTCATCCATACAACACATTTTTGTAGGAGTTGTCATTTTTCCATAACATTTTTTTGAAAAAAAATCAGAAAAAGTTTGGCCCTTATCAAATGTTAGTCTAGATAAATTTCGGAAAAACTGAGTATGCAAAAGTGCTTATTTAGTCAAAGTCTACACATCCAGAAAATTTCATTGAAATCTGAGAGGGTGTTGCCAGCTTCGATTCGATTTGGCGCGAAATGCGTCGAACATCCATCACCTTGCCGTAACTCCCTTTGCGAGTGTCCCTCGAGAGTGTCCCCGATACTCGAACAACGCACATCACTCGATCCATCGTCGCCTTATCCAATCGCGTCAGTTTATCCGGAAATCCGTACTTGTGCATAATCTGCCATAGCTGATCTCGATCGATTGTGTCGTATGCGGATTTGAAATCGATGAACAAATAATGTGTGGGTACGTTGTATTTGCGGCATTTCTTCAAAATCTGCCGAATCGCGAAAATTCGGTCTGTGGTAGCGCGGGCACCCATGAGCCCCGCCTGGGATTGCCCACGCACTCTCTTGCAAATGGTGACTCACGGCGGCTTAGAATTTGCGAGAGTATTTTGTAGTTGCAGCAATCCATCTTGTCACTTTTTTGTAGATTGGGCATACACGGTGAGAAAAAAATACCCTGCGTCCAGTTCACTTTTACCTACTTTCGACTAGTTTGTCTCCTTTTCTTCTTATAATGTTGTCAAAAAACGGATACGCAGTGGCCAGTACCTGACTAGCACCAAACCCAACATGCGACGCATAAAATTAAGTTACGTTCGAGGTAAAAACTGGAACGCGCCAAAATTGGTCGACAAAGAAATCGTTTCTTTCAGTCAAAATTCATATCACAGAAATCTTCTTATTTTTCTTTTGGTAGTTCAATTCATATATTTAAAGGAAAAAATGTTCGTTTATTCTTTTGGTTTGCCAAATCCGAAGTGCCGTGCTTTCCGCTTAACCCCTTCCATTAAATTTTGCACAGTGGTCTAATCGACCATATTCGCCACCGAACGCCAGTTAGATTTAAACCACAGACAAACAGACATAACACTTCATTGTGTATCTTCGTTCACGCATTTAACGGTTGATTTGAATATTATCAGTTTCGTGAACTACTCGCCGCAGCACTGGCATCGGATCACTTTGACGTTTCTATACATTCTATAGAACTTTTATGCAATATTGTTTGCGAGTTAGCGAGCAATCTTGTTTTCCACTAGAAGCCAGAGAGATGTCATTACTGAGGTCCTATGTTTTGATATACTATGCTTTCAAGAAAAACTTTTTCAAAGTGTTACGTCTGTTTGTCTGTGTTTAAACTGCTGCTCGTTTTTCATGGATTTATTAGTTTTTTTAGATTCCGTTTGAGCAAGGCCTAATACCGTTCGATAGGGCGGAGTTCTGGGCTGTTAGGAGGGTTGTGGTCTTTGGGTACCAAAACCACGTTGTTCGCATCGTACCACTCGATTGCCTTTTTCCCATAGTGGCAGCTCGCCAAGACCGGCCAGAACAGGTCTATTATGTTGCTTTAGGAATGGTAGCAGCCGCTTTTCCAGGCTCTCCTGGACGTTGATCTCTTGATTGATGGTTCCCGTAGTAATGAAAATGCCGCTTTTTAGACCACACGTGCATATGGCCTGCTAGATGAGATATTTTTCGGGAACTTCGATAGTTTGCCACCTTCCCTTTTCCTGATGCGGTATAAAACTCCTGTCCCGGAAGCTGCTTGAAATCCGCCTTCACATAAGTTTCGTCGTCCACGACGACACAGTCGAACTTTGTGAGCAGATTCGTATACAGCTTTCGGGACCGCTGCTTTGCCGACGTGTTTTGTTTGTAATCTCGGTTAGCCACCTTCACCTTCTTAAACGTCGACAACCCGACAAGCTTGCCAGCGACGTCCCGGATGGAGAGGTTAGGATTCCGCTTATATTTCACCGCCACCTTCTTCGTCGTCGCTGGCCACGTCTGGATTACGATTGCCTGGCGGTCGACAGACGCTCCCCGAACACTTTTAAAACATTTGTCACTGTCGATTTGGCCACATCGACCGATTTATCCAGCAATGTTGCCAACTTGGCGTGTGAGAACGTTGGATTCTCTAGCTGCGCGAGCAAAATTTTGAAACGCTGCTCCTCTTGCTTGGGCGTCGTTTTGAAAACTGGAGAGTAAACGGTGAAAACTCATCATAGCAACCATTGTATATGCACTCAACTTCCAAATGCAGCACTTCAGGTTTTTTTTTTTCTAATGCATTTTTAACAGAAATGCACCAATTTGAAGTTGACCAATTTTTGCGCGTTCCAGACTTTATCATACCGATTTTTCTCAATATTTGGATAGTTATGAACAGATTATTTTTTTTAGAAAACATACAGAGTTTAAAGGTTTTTCAAATAGGTGGAAAATTTTAATACCGATAAATTATCGTTTCTTCTTTTTGAGCAGCTTGAATTCACTCGTCGAGCACCAAACCCAAACCCCCATTGTTCACTAAATAAAATAATTTCTGATGTTCAGATGTTCTGATTTCTGAATTCTCTTTCGAAGTGACATTAGTTTCGTTTTCTGATTGTTTAGTTAACCATTAACCAATTAAATTTTTGGTTTTGTCGAATCGATGGACAAGCCATTTTAGCAATCCGCAAACTGATTGATTACAGTTGGCGATTCGAAGAGCTAGCTGAATATTTTGACATTCCTAAACTTCCAAATCAAAGTTTTGTGTTGTGACAAAAAAGCAAGACAATTGATAAAACAGAGAGTGCAAATTGAGAAATACGGATGGAATTAGCCCAAAGTGTGTCGCAGGTGTTTACTGACATCAAATACTGAGTACATTTACATCGAGCAACAACAAGCGAATTCAATATCTGTTTGATCTGCCAAACGCTTAAATAAAGTTGAAATGTGGTTTGATTAGAAGAATTTGAGAAAATGAAAGTTCAAACATAGAAAGTTGATGAAGAATCACGAGTTTGAATACAAACAAATAACCAGATAAAGATTGTTTCTTTTTTAAAGAAATCTCCAGCCGGAAGTAGGTTTGTCTCTCGGTACTGGGACTTGATTTTTTGTAATTTCAGACTTGTACAAAAGATAGAAATCACTAAGAAAATGAAGGTTCTAGGATTTCGAAATCTTTTGAATAGATAAACTCTTTAGAAAGTAAAAACCTCTTTATGAACTTTGAATGCACTCAAGAGAGATTCACGTAGATCCGCGCTAAGACCATATGATACAGAATTTATATAGATTTTTGTCAGCCAGATACAGATTCAAAATAAAAATCGGTGAAAATACAGATTTAAATTAGTAAAATGTGGCACCACTGGCTGGTAGGTTGCACGTGAATCATCCAGGCAATTTATAACATCCACCAATTTTTTACAGCGCATTTCGAGGACATAATCAAGGTATGAATCAACTCAAAGAAAACTTTCTGGCCCACTCAATATCTGGTTGGACCAAAACAACATGACTAACTACGCATGATTCCCACAACCACAAGACAGCAGATTAAGTCCACTCAAACAAAAATAATTAACATTTTGGAAATCCCAATCTAGACAGGAATTAACTCAGCTAGTAACAATGTGGTTTCTTCGTTTGCACACGTTTTCAGATTACACCCCTAATCGGACTCAATAGTTTGCTGCTTCCCGGTAGCTGCCTCCGGCTGGAAAGACAGCCAGATCACAACTGACTGAAGAAGACGAACTAACCCGCTCTCTTATTAACTCCGGGCTGGCTGCTGCTGATGTGCAGTGCGTTATCAGTGACGGCTCGGGACGGATGAAAAATATATTTATTGTTGTATCGCTGACGACGTCGTAAACTCTTTCGTGGTCCTCCCCTTCCGACCGGCTGCGTCGACGCAGTAGTGTGGAGGGCAGTTGCGAGCCCAGCTCATATTCCGCAAGACGCAAGTAAGCAAAACGCGCGCGGGTTATCAGACTCCACACAAGACAAGCACATTTCTAAACAATCAACCAGCCAACTGGTGACTTTGGTTTGCTGCAGTGGAAAGCTAATGTGTCCTGGAATTGTAGTGTTTTTTTTTGCAACCAAAGTCTCATCTCGCACGAGTCGAGAGCCGTTACAATCTGATCCAAATTCCCAGCCAGATCGGACGCGTAGTGAGTGATCCGGTGACGGTGGAGTTTAATGAAGTTGTGAACGGTTTTTTTTTTGCGTGAGTGAAACGCTTTGCGATCAAGAAGCCTCTCAAGACATCTTATCACGTCAAGTTGAGCGAAGAACGAGTCTTAGAATCAATATTTGCTTTGTATTATCAGCGGAGAAGCGGAACACCCTATAGGAACGTAAATACAACGCAGTGCATGTTCAATTTCGTTCTAAATGCGAAGAAGAAGGCTTGAAAAAATGTGCCAACCTAAAAACCACAGTGGACGTCGATCCAGAGATACGCCATGAAAAGCACGTGTGGTGGATAATCGATCCCCGGTTTATATCGCGAGTGTGAACAGTTCAAACATTGCATCATTGCACACTGCTTTACCAGCCAGTGCTGCTCTACACTGTAGATAGGGCTAGAAAAGCGCGCAGCAGAGTGTTCCGGTGATAAGCGGCAGTCGTTTCGGTATCTGGATTTCCTTTGGTGCCCAACCCCTTTCGAGTAAACAAAACTACAGGGTAAGTCGCATGCTTACTGTTCACAACACATAATGACTAAAATTGTATCACTTTGAGTCACTTTATCATTTCTAAGAAAGGAGTGACCAATTCCAGGTGATGTGAAACGCAAATTTTCGATCCGTGATGACTCTTTCCGCTTAAAACTCATAACTGCATAATATGGCAATATTATGGTGCATCAATGGAAAGTAAACAAGATTTGCTTTGTTTTCCAATCAATAGTTATAAAAAGCAGTCCTTTTTTTGACTTCAACTCTGTTTTAAAGAACTTTTGTATTCAAGAGCAAATTTTCATTATGTCGTAAGTAACATTCGCACCAATCCGAGAAAAATAAGGTTTTGTTTTGATGACCGAAAATTTATTCCTATTTCCAAGTAAACACATATAATCTCATAGTGATAGCAATGTTTAACATATTTAGCAGGGTTTTAAGCATACAAATGCAAATCGCTAGCTTTAGTTATTATTAGTTATTATACGTCTTTTGGTGGCCCCTATTGTTACTTAAGTCAAAGTGTATTTACCAGGATATTCGGGAGAATTATCAATTACGTCTCCTTACGTGCAGCCCATTCATCATTTTAGGACCACCGAAATCATCTTAGCAACAAACAGTTCGATTTATTCACTTTAATAATGAGAAAGCGAAACGACGAACGTACACTTTTCACGGGTTTCTCAGCGCTGTTACTTAAGTCAAACGGCATCTCCATAGAAATTGGGCGACTTAAGTAACATCGAAAACTGTTTTGATCGGAAGGTGATTACGTCGAAAAGCAATTTGACTGGTAAATAAATTTAAAAATGGGATTTGATCCTATATTCGGACAGTATATAGTGTAATAGCAGGAGAATCGATTGACACTGATAGCTCGACTTTGTTTACCTTTGTTACATTCGACGTAATGAAAATTTGCTCTTGTATTCGTCGAACATTTTCTAAAGGTTGAACACGAAAAAATCCGGACATGAAAATCTTGTTGCATAAGCCCTGTTCCCACTTGTTTGGCTGCCAAACTCCATTTCCGCTTGAAATTCTTCAGGTCAATTGCAGTTCCACCCTTTTTCTTCAGAATGTGCTTCACAATTGACCAGTATTCCTCAATTGGCCTTAGTTCCGGAGTATTGCCAAACGAGGAACTTTTTGGGGAATTTCAACTTCTTTTTGATTTTACATTCGTCTGGGGCACTTTTCCGGTCAACCGTGGTATAACTGGTCGAAAACTGCCAGGAGCGGATAGACCGGAATTTTCGTTTCGAGAGTGCAGGATCGAAACGCGACGTCCTTGCTCCGGTGAAGCCATGATGTAAACAAATGAACTTATCCCGACAACCAATGCCTACTATGATTATATACACTCCTGAACGAATCCACCTATGATGAGATCTGACGCTTCTTACTAATATAAATTTTAACAAAGGTTTCATATAACGTAAAGTGGTAGGTGAATTCTCATCTGAAACTGGCCACTTCTGGTACCTGAACATGGCTTGATATAGCCAGTGTGATCCTGGGCTCTTTGAATGACTATCATTGAACTGTTTTTTTTTTTAATTTTCATGTCATTTGATCTGTCACATTGTGGGTTTTATTCGTTTCGGGTCGAATTTAGTCTCATGATCCATATAAACCGGAACATGTTTAGGTCACATCTCCTGAACCAGTTGATCGGTTCCAAAACTATTCAAAAGCATTCTATGGGACCATAAAACCTTTCATTTGTTGCGTCCAATTCGGATCAGTGGTTGCCGTATTTTGACGTAGGATTACGTCTGTGATTTTTATATGGCGGTACACTTTGTGAAAACCGAAAATGGAACATGTAACAAAATTATGAAAGATTTTGAACATTAATAGCTCAGCTGCCCCTGGACCGGTTTCAATAATTTTATCACCAATCGATCATAAATATGTCTACGCATCAATGCAATGCTTCTGATTGATGATTTTAAACAAGAAACTATTATAAATTTTCAAATTTGCATCAATATTGACTCTGAAAAAGTTGAAATGTCAAGCATTGTCCAATGTACAAATAAAAAGTGATAATTTTATCACTGTTTTCATGAAATAAACGTTCTTCCCTAACTCAGTCTTCATAATCGAGTACCACTTGGTTGCACATCATTCTGCTGTAACCTGAAAAGATATGGTGAGCAGGCAGCAGAAGCAGCAATAGCAGCAGTAGGAAGGCGGTGGCTGGTTAGGTACAGGCATGGAAAATCATTTGCATTCATTTCGTGCATTCATTTACATTCATTTGTCCCTAACTTTTTTCATCAACAGAATTCCACAAAATGATGTATGGAGTTTTTGTAGGCTTTGTTATTACCTACAACTTTTGTTAACAACTCAAATCCGTATTTCTTATGCATGACGAACCAGAGCGAACAGAAGCCACTACTGTTTTTCAGTGAATGTATTTCACATTCACTGAAAAACAGTAACAAGTTGTGCCCGCTCTAGTTCGTGATGCATAAGAGATACATATTTGAGTTATGGCGAAGACAACCAATCAAGAAGACTGGCAACTCTTCCATTTTCTCATACAAACGCTGTGAGACAGGTACAATCGCGACATCTGTCGCTCAAAGGTAAATGCTTCGAACGAATTTGATAGCAAAGATTACATCCTCAGACGAAGGGTTTGTGTATTTGCTCATTTTTCTATGCGTTGCTTCCACCTTCACTCAAGCGCAGCGCTACTGTATCTGTCGCTTGAATTTTGGCAAAGTTACCAGTCTTCTTGATTTGTTGTCTTCGGTTATGGGCAAAAGTTGTAGTTAATAACAAAACCTACAAAAGCTCTATACATCATTTTGCGGAATTCTGTTGATGAGAAATTTTAGGGATATATGAATGTAAATGAATGCACGAAATGAATGCAAATGATTTTGCATGCCTGTACCTAACCAGCCACCACCTTCCTACTGCTGCTATTGCTACTTCTGCTGCCTGCTCACCATATCTTTCAGGTTAAAGCAGAATGATGTGCAACCAAGTGGTACTCGATTATGAAGACTGAGTTTGGGAAGAACGTTTATTTCATGAAAATAGTGATAAAATTGAATGTAAATGAATGTATCGTAATGTCAAACGTATCTCCGGTCTGATTTACGAGGTGTGGTGAAGGTGTTCTTGGAAAATGAGATCCTTTATGCTGTCACCTACATTGAACACGCCAAGCGTAAGCGACCATGGATGTCATCTACGCTTTGAAGCGACAGAGACGCACTCTGTACGGTTTCGGAGGTTAAATCATTACCAACTTTGGCAACAAAACGGCCCTTTTCAGGGCCAACAAGCTTATTACAGTAAAGAGTTGGAATAGAAGTTATCTGTGTCTGTTTGCCCATATTCAAAACCACACGCCTCCAACGACTACACAAAATGCTCTCCAGAGTTGTAATCTTGTAACCAAACTTGGAAGCAGGGGTGCAAGTGATTTTGATCGATTCTCTTAATCAAATTTGGTACGCCTACAGTTCAAAAACGGAAAGAGTTAAGATATTAGATGATCGATCAATTAAAAGAACTAAATGCTCTTGACATTTGTTCCGTCCACTAGCAGTCGTACGTCAAGCTTCCGTTCGTGCCTCTAGGCACAGGCCCTTTTACTTTTTTTTTAATTGTTGTTCCGACTATATTTCCGGAACCGAAATACCTCTGGGGGTGTAGTACCTTCCATTTGCTGGTGACTTCGTCCAATCCGGTTCAATAGTTGCCGAGAAACACGACTTCGTTCCTAAAATACCTATTATCCGGAACTTGTTCTGGCTATATCTCCGGATTCACATAAGCGATTCCAAAACTATTGAACCATGATACCTTTCATTTGACGGTTGTTACGTCCAATTCGGCTAAGTGGATGTCGAGAAGCGTGGGTTAGTTCCCAAAATCCGTGTTTTTCGGATCTTGTTCTGTTCATATCTCCGGAACCAGTTGATCGATTCTAAACAAAAAAAAATCATAAGCGCTCTATAGGGTTATGAAACCTTTCATTGTGTGGCTGTTGTTCTATTCAGTGTTTGCTGAGAAACACATCGCACAAAATTGTGTAACACACATACACACCAGGGTGCTTCATTAAAAAAAAAAGATGAATTTCTGATAGACCACCCTCCAGTTCGATTCATAACCCCAAAATATGAGCCAATGAAAAAAATGGTAAAGATTGATGAAGGTTTGGAGGTCACGCAAATGATTTGAAATTTGTATGGGAATTACTATGGAAGATTTAAAAAAACCTGTAGAAGCATAGTTAGAGCAGCACACATAAGAGGTTCAAGGTAATAAACAAATACCATAAACGAACTGTATCCCGGATGGGTAAACTATCCCACAAATGGTTTGGATGATACCCCGAACACGTCGTTAAGCTCTCTTTTATGGTTATTTTCACTAGGGTAAGAAACTCGATGTATTCTGATTAAATCAAAAAAGCTCACATTTATTGCTGAAGAGGTCCGTTAGACAAAAACCGATCGTTTCCAAGTTCCGTTCTAGGATCTACAAACGCAGACTCCCTGACTGTTACAGTACCCTCCACGGTATCTCCAGCTAATGGCTATGCAGTGGCTAGCGCAAAGGCTATTGCCCCATCCGAGACCGCTCAGCAAGTCGCATGTGATGCGCTTCTTGCGTTGAAATTCCAACGGAATCTGCTTCAGCTGCGGCGCACGCTCAAAGTCTACGGGAGAAAATTTTCAACTTGTTGTCAATTTGTTGTAGGATTGCTTAAGTTCTTTGGATCATTACCTGAATCCTGATTCGCTGCCTGTACGTCCTGAGTAGCAACGCTGGCTTGTGGCATTGCAGATCCAACCGAAAGCGCCACCGCGAAGCAAACAAGGGCAATGCACAGTGACGTTATTGGTTTCATTGTGGAAGGCTTTTGACGAATATCGAAAACGCTAATTGTGGTGGTACTTGCGGTTAAAGAATAACTGTGAGTGCCAGTGAACTTATCTGCCTTTTATAGTGCTCGTTGTTCAAGTTTATTTACATTAAATTTTCTTCCGATCGAAGAAAATAATTTACTTGCACCAATATTGACTCTGATGGCTACTTGAAAAGAACATGAAACCTTGAGTAGTTTTCATCTTCTTCTTCTTTGGCTTTATAACGGCCCTACTGGGACTTTACGTCGGCCCTCAACTTAGTGTTCTTTGAGCACTTCCACAGCAGTTAGTTGAGAGTTTTCTAAGCCTGTACCTTTTTTGCATTATTGTGTGGCAAGTACAATCATACTATATGCCCAGGGAAGTCGAGAAATTTTTCAACATGAAAAATTGCTAGACCTAGAATCGGACCCAGCCGCCTCCAGCATGGTTTTGCTTTATAGCTGCGTCTTTACCGACTGAGCTAAGGAAGCCCCCAAGTAGTTTTCATGAAATGATCGAATAAACAAGAGGCTGACACAAAGTCATGAATGATGTATTTTAGCTGCTATCTCTACAATGTAGGTTTTCAATAACGTTGTAATGCTCGTACAGAAGAAGCCCATAAGCAAATGCACAATGAGATTCAACCATCAATTTTCGCTCCCTCAGTTTTAATAAACAACAACCCTAGGTTTTTGGACAAAAGATCAAAGGACAAAAGGTCTACAGACAAAAGGATAACACTGCTCATAAAAGCATATCAATCCCGTCTGGAAAAACAGCAAGGTGAGAAAATCGAGGTTATAAATTTATTTCTCCACGTACTCTTGTGGATGAGACAACCCCAACCAACCTTGGTATTTTTCACGATATTTTCTGAACAAAATAGGTAACCTCATTTCTGACGAAAATCCATACCCTTTTGTGAGCAGAACAGCTGGCAAAATTTAAAGGGTCAAGAGGTCGAATGGATAAACGGGTTAAATGGACAATAGGTCAAATTGATGAATGGTCGAATGGACGAAAGGTTAAACGGACAATAGGTCTAAATAGACCAGAGCTCGTTTTTACAAAAAGTCAAATTTATTTAAAAGGAAGAAGGTTGAAATGAACAAAACTTCTAAAAGTTAAATCACTTTAAGTGAATCAAAAAAATTAAAAATATTAAAAGGTCGGAAAGCCGATATGCTGGGTAAAACAAGTAAACCAAGCTTAGAATTTGAGAACCTAACTGAAATACTCGAAAGTGATTTCTCTCTATTGGAGTTAACTCCTCCTTTAAAACATAACCAGTTTTTTGGCATATAAAATCTATTGAACAATCCAGCTGGAAATTCTCGCAAGTTATTTCTCAACCTTGAAGATGACGCCTTCATGTTTTAATGAGCAGTCCTTTGTCAGATTAAAGCTACTGAGCAATCCAACTTAAAGTGCTTGAAAGTTCTTACTTTCGTTGTTTTTCCCCAATCAACCTTTTGTCCTCCTTCTCATCATTTAACCTTTTTTTTTTTTTTTTTTTTTTTATCTAGTTCGTTTATTTGGGAGGCTCAATCGCGTTAGCTTTACGGAGCCGATAATTCATTGTTCACTGTGTGTAACAAAATTCACTTAATTCTATGTCTAGTAGGAGTTGGGCCGATTACTCGCGGCTTACTCGAGGTTAGAAGGGTACATTTTCGAAGGATAGGATCAGGGGAGGAGCTTGGGGTAGGGTTTCGTTGTCTCATCAGAGCGTTGTCGCCAGTATGAACGGTAGTGCTGTTCTAGCTTCGTCCGGAGTTCGACCGGCTATGGTGGGTGACCAGTGGGCGACGATGAGACTCATCGAGACGGGGGGACAAGACAAACAAAAACTAATAAAGAGAGACAAAAGACAAAAGGAATTAAATTCTTATACTAGACATTTGAAGAAAAACATAAACGGACTGCATATAGCAGAGATCACGGGTTGCCAACACGTCTCTGATAGGAACATAGGGTTGTCTTCCTTGGGCCTCGAGGGTATTCAAAAGTCGCTCTCTGGCGGCGTCATTATCCGTACATTGCCAAACTGCGTGTTCGATGTCATCGTAACCGTTTCCACACCGACAGATGTTGCTGTCCACGAGGTTTATTCTATTGAGATGAGCATCTAGCGAGTAGTGGTTGGACATAAGTCTACTCATCACGCGAATGAAGTCACGACTTAAGCCCAAGCCTTTAAACCACGCTCTCGAAGAAACATTAGGAATAATTGAATGTAACCACCGTCCAAGATTTCCAGTGTCCCAATCGGTTTGCCAACTCGAAAAGGTACTCTGACGCACTAAATGGTAAAATTCATCGTGTGAAATTTGCCTGTCATACAATTCGCCTTCCTGCGCGCCCACCTTTGCGAGAGAGTCCGCCTTCTCATTGCCTGGGATTGAGCAATGTGAGGGGACCCATACAAAGGTAATCATATATGATCTTTCGACCAGCACACACATCTGCTCCCTTACCTTTGAAAGGAAATAAGATGAGTGCCTACCTTGTTTCATCGACCGAATAGCCTCAATCGAACTGAGACTATCCGAGAAGATGAAGTAATGGTCTGTGGGCATATTGGAAATCATCCCCAATGCGAAGTTGATTGCTGCCAGCTCAGCAACAAAAACGGAACAAGGTTCCTGAAGTTTGCGGAAGGCGCTAGAGTTTTCATTGAAGACACCGAAGCCAGTGGATCCATTGAGACGTGACCCGTCTGTAAAATATCTTTTCATGCAATTGACTTGTTGGTACTTTTCAGTAAAAATACGCGGAATAATAATAGGTCGAAGTTGATCGGGAATCCCATGAGTTGCTTGTTTCATGGTCAGATCATATTCAATTGAGGAACTGCGATTGGTGAAGTGAACACGGTCTGGAGTATAACAAGGAAGACACATATCTGATGATATGTAGTGGTGGTAGATTCTCATAAATCGAGATTGTGTGTTCAACCCAAGAATTTCTTCAAAATTAGCAATTATAAGTGTGTTCGTCACTCCGCATTTGATTAGTATTCTGAGAGAGAGCTCCCAGAAACGGTTCTGGAGGGGTGTTACTCCTGCCAGAACCTCGAGACTCATGTTATGCGTTGAGTGCATACAGCCTAGAGCAATACGCAGACAACGATATTGAATTCGTTCCATTTTTATAAGGTGACTTTTTCTTGCCGAGAGAAAGCAGAAAGAGCCGTACTCTAGAACAGAGAGAATAGTTGTTTTATAAAGCGTTATGAGGTCTCCCGGATGAGCACCCCACCATGTGCCGCAAATTGAACGGAGAAAGTTGATCCTCTGCTGACATTTTTGCTTCAAATACGTAATATGGGCATTCCAAGTGCACTTTGAATCAAACCAGACCCCAAGGTACTTGAAAGACAATGATTGAGTAATGTTTCTGCCCAAAAGATTAAGATGCATTTGGGCTGGGTACCGCTTTCGAGTAAACACTACCAGTTCAGTTTTCTGCGGCGAAAATTCGATCCCTAGATTCATAGCCCAAGAAGACAAGTTATCTAAGGAATTTTGCAATGGTCCTTGCAAGTCCACGGCATGTGGACCTCTTACGGAAACCACACCGTCATCTGCAAGTTGTCTTAGCGTGCATTGTTCTGCCAAACAGTTGTCGATATCTTTGACGTAAAAGTTATAAAGAAGAGGGCTGAGACATGAGCCTTGGGGCAGGCCCATGTAGCTAATTCTGGAAGTTGTCAGTTGTCCAAGGGAAAAGTTCATTTGCTTTTCTGACAACAAATTGTACAAGAAATTATTTAAAATTCCAGAAAGTCCACATCTGTGCAGATTGTCTGACAGAATTTCAATGGAAACTGAATCAAAAGCCCCCTTAATGTCCAAGAATACTGAAGCCAATTGCTCCTTGTGTGCAAAGGCCAGTTGAATATCTGTGGAAAGCAGCGCTAGACAATCGTTTGTTCCTTTGCTCTTGCGGAACCCAAATTGTGTATTTGATAGCAAGTTATTTGATTCGACCCAGTGATCGAGTCTCCGAAGGATCATTTTCTCCAACAATTTCCTAATGCACGAAAGCATAGCAATCGGACGGTATGAGTTATGGTCAGACGCTGATTTGCCAGGTTTTTTAATGGCTATTACTTTGACCTGTCTCCATTCAGGCGGTACAATGTTGTTTTCTAGCAAGGAATTGAATAAATCTAGCAAGCGTCTTTTAGCGATATCTGGGAGATTTTTCAGAAGATTGAATTTAATCATATCGCTTCCCGGTGAGGAGTTGTTCGATGAAAGAAGAGCCATAGAGAAATCCAGCATTGAGAATGGTCTATCCAGAGAGCCGCCGCTAGGAGACGCTTCTCGAAGAATATTTTGTGCTGGAACTGAGTCCGGACAGACCTTTTTAGCGAAATCGAATATCCATCGGTTGGAGTATTCTTCACTCTCATTGAAAGATGAGCGGTTACGCATGTTGCGAGCCACCCTCCACAAGGTGTTCATTGAGGTTTCTCGTGAGAGTCCCTCGACGAAATTGCGCCAATAACCGCGTTTTTTTGCTTTGATTAATTGTTTCAGCTTTGTCTCAAGCTTTGAATATTCCTCGAAGTAAGTGGAGGTTTTGTGTCTACGAAAAGCTTTGAAAGCATCAGATTTTTCTACATACAATTTTGTGCATTCTTCGTCCCAACCAGGTGTGGCTGGTCTCCTTTTAAAGGGTGCACTTGGAACTTTTCTTTTTTGTGCTTCTAGTGAGCTTTTGTAAATCAAATCGGCTAGGAATCGATATTCTTCCAATGGTGGAAGCGCATCTATTGATTCGACACCGATTGTCACCGCCGTTGCATATTTCTGCCAGTCGATGTTCCTTGTAAGATCAAATGGAACCCGAGATGGTTCTGCAGAGTGAGGGCCACACTTTATTGAAATGATGATTGGCAAATGATCGCTACCATGGGGATCATTGATAACCTTCCACTGACAATCCAATGATAGCGATCTTGAACACAAAGATAGGTCGAGTCGGC